GTTATCATAGTTTAGATTTTAGTTCTATAAACCTCTTCAAATTAGTTATTATCATCTTTTTCATTCAATCCATATTTTCCAACATGATTTTCTTTTTCTTTTTTTTCCTCAGCATTTCTTAATTATGTCATACTTGTTACTTCTGGCTTCAACTTCATTCTTGCTGGAATGCATCATTTAGGAGTATTTTTTATTACAGTTCTATATATAGTAAACTAGGTATTATGTTGCCTGAAAATATTTTTATTTCATCTTCACATTTGCACAACAGTTCAGCTGAGTATAAGGTTCTAGTTTGATAAATTATGTCACTAGATTTCCATGGGCATAGTTTTTTCTGTTATATATTCTAGCCTTATTTGGGGGCTGAGATTCCTTGTGTGCTTTGTGATCTTTTGTTGTTGTTGTTGTTGTGATCTCTTCTCCAAAGAGAGTTCTCTTCCCTAAGAATTCTGCATGTACACTGAGTTGTGGAAGTATCACTGTAGAAGAGTACTGTGTTTGCCTTTGCAGTGCTCTTTACAGAGTTAACCAGGTTGGATCTTGCTCTATTGCCCAGGCTGGCTTCAAACTCCTATGCTTAATTGGTCTTCTTGACTAAACCTCCAGAGTAGCTATAACTATAGGCATGTAGTATTGCACCCAGGTAGAGAGTAGTTTTTACTCTTTTTTTCTTTGTTTGGGGCTTTGGCTGTTTTAAAATTATTTATCTATCTGTCTATTTATTCTATTTTTTTATTAGAACATGTTAGAAATACAGAATGATGAAGTTTTTTTTAGGAATTTGGTAAATGCGTTGAACATATCTTGCTCATTTTCAATGCCATTACCAACTTTTCCCACCCCCCATTCCCTTTGTTCTCACCAAAAGGCTATCTTCTAGTTTTATGTTGTCCCATCTCCTCTCACTCTCTCATGCTTTCTAGGGTTTTTATATAAGAGAAATCATTTGATATTTGAAATTCTAAATATCACTTATTTGCCACATCATGATAGTCTCCAGTTTCATCCATTTTATTTTATTTTATTGGTACCTGGGATCGAACTCAGGAGCTTGTGCTTGTGAGGCAGGCGGCAGAACCACTGAGCTAAATCCCGGGCCCATCGTCCATTTTATAATGAATGACATGATTTCACTCTTCCTTATTGAGATAGGAAATTAGGGCATGATTAAGCTGGCTGGGGTAGTAGGTGTGACTAGTTAATTACAAGATGCTGGACACATGCTCAGAATAGTTCCCAAAGCCTTGCACCTGGACTTCTCTTGAGACCTCGACCACCCTTTCAATAGGATGGCCTAGACCTGACATCAGCCTGAGATTTGGGATACGAGCACCACCACCTCTTAGAACCCATATGTAGAAGTTCTCACAGGTTTCCTTGAGACGTGGACAATATAAAGGACACACAGATGCCATGAAGAACTTGCTATTGTAGCTTTCCACAATAGCACATTCTGCATTTCTCAGATGCAGTGTGTACTTTTATATTTGTTTTTACCCTCTTTTTCTCTTTACTTGGCCCAAGCATGTTCTGCAGAGCCAGTTTGTCTCCTACTCTTTTTTCACTTTTACTTTATCCAATAAACTTGGTCACTACTTTTTGTTAGTTTTGTTCAGTTCTTTGTTTGATATGACAAGAACCTGGAATCTAACTCCAGAGGAAGAAGTGAACAAGTAAGAACCTGGTAATGACACATTTATTTATTTATTTATTTATTTATTTATTTATTTATTGGTACTGGGGATCGAATTCGGGTCCTTGCGCTTACGCAGCAGGCGCGGGAACCACTGAGCCAAATCCCTGGCCCATAATGACACTTTTAGAAGCAGACTACTCAATAACGTTATGACTGAAAAATATTCCATTATGTATATAGGGTTTGGGCCGAGGATGTAACTCAGTGGTGACACACCTGCCTGGCAAGCCAAGGTCCAGAGATCCATCACCAGTATCGGGAAAAACAACAAAAAAAAGATAGTGTCTACATGGTTTGATGAAAAACTTCAGTGATTGTATAAATTTTAAAATCTATTATACCAAAATACATATTGCCATTAATCATTGTCAGAATACTCACTCTCACTTCAAACACACTTATCCCATAATTCTTGCCACTTTCTGAAGCAGTTCTGGAATTCCTCTTTCATGAAAGTCATTAATTGGGCTGTTGTGGCTGCCTCAATATCCTGAATTGATTCAAACCATTTACCTTCCATAGTCATTTTAACTTTGGGTAAGAAATTGCAGTCATGCGAGGCCAGATCCCATGAATAAGA